ACAGATATCACCTGATGAATTCTAGAAGGTCAAAGACCCATGCCATTTCAAGGCGAATATAGGTAGTTTAAAGGTTATCAAACCTAACTACTCAAATAAAGAAAAAATCAAACAAAAACTGCACTTACGGCTAACAATTTAAGGCATAATTTTATGCGCGAAATTAAAAACAAAGGGAACGCACGCTGCAGGCGTATGAAAACAAAGTCAAGCGAAAAATTTACTTAAAATAATGAAGTTAAGGCATAATTCTCTACGCGCAAAGTGACAAGAAATGGGAACGGGTGTTAATATAAATTATTATTTTTCTGGCGCGTGCGACGTTTTGTAAGTCACTTCAGGTCAGTAACCTATATATCAAGGCTGATTTATTTCTTGTCAATATTTTACCCTATTTATTTTGTTTGAAAAATGCATTTTTTATTTTCTTTTATTATTGTTTATTTTATTATTTTAACAGACATATATCAACTTGTGTTAACTGCTGTGCTATTTAACGTGATAACCTCGGCGCCACCCAGTATATATATATATATATATATATATATATGACGGCACCTGCACCGTTGTAGATGCGGTGGCGTCGGTCTAGCTAGACAGAATTCTTGTAAAGGACACGTGTACCGCACACCTGCGGCATTGCACCTGCGTTGCCACCCGTCCTGCTTGTATAAAACGGACGGAGCGGCCGCCGTTAAGACAGTCTTGGCTCTGACGTGGAACGGTGCGCTTGTCGTATTGCGTTACTAGTTTATCCTCGACTCGTTGGATAATTAATTCGTGTAAACGAATTAATTATTATTTCTAACTACAAAATCAGTCTCTGTACCCTACCCATTATACTTCCTACATCAGAAGTGGGATAAAGTCCCCATTTTTGCCCACATACAATCTTCGAATAGTATGAGAATTATTACATTTGTGAAAGACTATAATGCATTCTGCATTGATGATTCTGTTTTTATGTTAAATACCGTTATGAAATTTGCTGTCCTACTTACGATATTGTCGTATCATTAAAGTGTAGAGAAAAGATAAAGTGAAATTATTTAAGCCAAAAGATAAATCCTTTTTTTTCGATTAGTATTAAAAGTACCCGCAAGTATTTTCATTATTTCTTGACTTACCTAAATATGTTAACAAATGTCGAAAGAAATGTTGGAGGCTTTCTAATAGTTATAGTTTGCATATATATGACGGCACCTGCACCGTTGTAGATGCGGTGACGTCGGTCTAGCTAGACAGAATTCTTGTAAAGGACACGTGTACCGCACACCTGCGGCATTGCACCTGCGTTACCACCCGTCCTGCTTGTATAAAACGGACGGAGCGGCCGCCGTTAAGACAGTCTTGGCTCTGACGTGGAACGGTGCGCTTGTCGTATTGCGTTACTAGTTTATCCTCGACTCGTTGGATAATTAATTCGTGTAAACGAATTAATTATTATTTCTAACTACAAAATCAGTCTCTGTACCCTACCCATTATGCTTCCTACATATATATATATATATATATATATATATATATATATATATATATAATCTATTTTGTGTTTATTTAATTCTTACTATAGAAGAGCGGGGCATACTGCCACAAGTATAAGTATATTTACATAAAAGGATGTTCCACTTACTCCCATACCTATATAATGTATGATCTTTTTAAATAAATAAACAATTTTTCATATTCATTTTCATTATATTATATTATATATATACATAATATAAAATACTAAAACAATATAAGGAACACTGAGTAATAACAGTATAAGAATATACACTGAATTGTTTCATCCCTTAGTGTTATAGAACGGGGATCTTCCCAACAACATCCAGAAAATAAAAACTATGTTTGTCAATCCTTCTATTAAGTATGGTGACTATGCCAGACATTTATACAACTCTGTGTTAAAAGTATCGGGAATATGTCAATAAAAAGACCCGCGTAAAAGAGGTCGTTCTAATTTTTTTACTGCATGTTGGTAGCACTGTACTGATTTAGCGCGCAAAGTTTGAGCGGGATATGTCATTTAATTTGTTTTAAACTACACTTTTTGTAGGTCTTAGTTTTGAGTTCTCGGCGATTTTTACAATGGAAAATATTGTTGAACAAAGAGTGTGCCTTAAATTTTGTGTTTCGAATGATATTTCATGTGGTGAATCAATAAAAATGTTGCGAAATACCTACGGCGAATCGTGTATATCGAAAACAAGGGCTTATGAATCGTATAAGGCTTTTAAAGAAGGCCGAGAAGTAGTAGTAGACTTGCCTCGTTCTGGTAGACCTTCAACCGCTACGACCAAAGAAAACATCGACAAAATCAAGAAGCTAGTGCTCGAAAATCGACGTATAAGTCTGAGAGAGTTGGCTAGTGTGGTGAACATATCTTTTAAGTCCGTCCACAACATTCTCATTGACATTTTAGGCATGAAACGCGTCGCCGCTCGACTAGTTCCAAAAGAGCTCAATTTTGTTCAAAGAGCGCAGCGAAAGCATGTCACTGAAGACATGGTTTCCCGAGCTTCTACGGATCCGACCTTTATGAAACGTATAATAACTGGCGACGAGACATGGGTTTATGAGTACGACATGCAAACAAGCCAACAGTCTTCAGAATGGCGTCTCGAAAACGAGCCGAAACTCAAAAAACTGCGGCAAAGTCGCTTCAAAATCAAGGTGATGCTGACAGTTTTTTTTGACTACCGTGGTGTCGTTCACTCCGAATTCCTTCCAAATGGAGAAACAGTGAATAAAGAATATTATTTAGGCGTCATGAAGCGTTTGCGTGAGAGTATCCGCCGAAAACGTCCAGATTTGTGGCAACACAACTCATGGATGCTGCACCATGATAATGCACCATCACACACAGCCATTATAGTGAAAGAGTTTTTAGCGAAAAATTCAACAAAAGTTCTCGACCAAGCACCGTATTCACCTGATATGGCTCAGTCTGACTTTTTTTTATTTCCCAAGTTAAAATTACCACTTCAAGGAAAACGTTTTGAGTCGATAGAAGCCATAAAAAAAATTCGCTGAATGAGTTAAAGGCCATACCGCAAATAGCCTATGAAAAATGTATGGAAAACTGGGTGAAGCGTTGGAGATGTTGTATTGCAAGCAATTACTTTGAAGGCGATAAAATAATTTTAGATGAATAATTTGTATTTTTTGTTTTATTGACAAATTCCCGATATTTAGTACACAGAATGTACATGCAAATATATATAACGCAATCAATTGGAAGGCCTATGTTCGGCAGCGGATTTTGATAGGATGTAATTTATGAATAAAATAATAACTTAATGGCTCATTTCCCCTCCAATAGCAGAACAACTATGCATGACAAGGAGCACTAACTGTTACAAGTGGAGTCTAACAGTAAATGATCTCTCAAACTCTACCTGCTAGCTGAATGTGTTAATTACAACAAATCCATCTTCATGGAGAGAAGCCTTTGATCAACAATAGACATTAACAGGTAAGCCACATAAGTACTACTACTACCACATTCAGCGATAAAACGCAGCCAGCATTCTTGGCACAATACAACAGGGAGTAGGGCTGTATGATAATTAAGTTATTAGTTTTAGTTTTATTTTATAGTTTTTTAATTTTAATATTATATTATACTACTTCTACTGTACTTTTTTACTACTTATGTGGTACATGGCTCTTTTTATATGTAAGGATGAGTTATATAGAATACTTTAATACTTTACTTGAAATTTACTCACCTTGCCTAGAATTAAATTGACCTAATGACAGAGGTGTTTTTCCAAAGAGTTTTCTTTTTAAATTGTGAGTATGCCAGTGATGCTTGTAGTGTGCAGTTTGCTGTGCTCGAGTCTCAAATGGGCCAACACCACAGCGTGAACAACAGTTGCCGTCCGATGGACCACCAATGGTTAGAGCATTTAGACGTTTAATAACACTTGCTTCATCCACTGTTAAAGAATAAAAGATATCTTGATTTTTGACAAACATAAGACTTTTAGACTTCTCCATACTTTCCAAGTGCAAAACAGCACTTATTACATAAATATAGAGTACCTACAGCAAGAGATTGTTTAATTTTTGTTTCTTCTTCTTCTTTTAAATTATGGCTTCTTTTGATAGAATTCTGCCAGAATCAAGTCTTTTTTTTTTTTATAGGATCGGGTGACAAACGAGCACACAGTCCACCTGATGGTAAGTGGTTACTGTGACCCATAGACATCTACATCTATCCTCAATAAAGACTCAAGATACAGATGCGTTGTCACCCGTGAGGACGAAGATGGAATGCCTCTTTGTCAGTAAATAGGGTCTCCGGTTCTCTACACTCACCATACGAAACACAGCAGCATTAAGCTGCCATTTTACGCTGGTTTTCTGTGAGAGCGTGGTCCTTCCCCGGTCGAGCTGACCCATTCGTGCTACAACCTTAATATAGCTGCAGCATGGCTCTACCACGTAGTAAAGTCAGTAATTTTTGTTTTAAATATACATTATTATCAGTTTGACTACATAGAAACATATAAAAATAGAATTACATAAAACAATATCAATGCCAGATTAACATTAAGGGCAAAGTAGGCACTTGTCTATAGGATAGGGCCTACGCTGCTTAAATCACTACAGTCCCAGAATAATTTTATACCTATAAACACTCAGACCTAGGCCTCTACATTGTTCCATCCCACCCTTTTTTTTTTTTTTTTTTTTTTTGCGGATGGAAAATCATCTAATGACGCCTTTCGCTGTGGGTGGAGCGGAAGGGAGTGTCAGACTTTTACTGACTAAAAACCATCCGTGTTCCTTCAGTGCCCTTACGTTCCGGAGCCGCGGTATCTCTTTCGAACAGCCCGCAGCCCCGGCAGGCGTCGGCCCTTGCGGGCCCCTTCACGCTGCTGACAGCTCTTTGAGGCGCGCGTGGAACAAAACGCGCCGTCGACACAGCCTGTCGTCGTTAGACGGACGGACGGCGAGCTACCCATTGCTCGCCGTCCACAGGCCCGCGCCTACGGTGGTCGGGGGCCACGACGTAGCCCCCGACGCCCGGGGCGTCTCCCGCGGCGGCCGGGAAGGAAAGCTGTTGCTCTTTCCTTCTCCCGCTCCGCCACCTCCTTCGCTAGCATCACTGCTTCGCAGAAGGTGGTGACGGCATCCCATTCCGTCTCGCTCCGGACCATGGCTTCGACCAGAGCCGGACGCGAGAGGTCGCCGCCGCCTATCGCCGCTACGAGGACACGGCGGTGCTCCGCCCAAGCAGAGCACACCTCCACGGTGTGCTCCACCGTGTCCTCCGGTCGATCCTCGCAGTGGGAGCACCCGGGCGTTTCCTCCCGCCCGATTCGGTGCAGGAACCTCCCGAACACACCGTGTCCGGTGAGAACCTGCGTCAGGCGGAAGGTGAGGACGCCGTGGCGTCTCTCAAGCCACTCCTCAAAGAGGGGTCTTATCGCCGCTATAGTGGCGTGCCCAGCACGGGGTTGCGACAGTCGCTCTCTCCATGTCGCCATGAGATCATGCCGGAAGTCTGTCCGCTGCGCGACAACTTGCCGCGGCAGCGGGGTTTCCCCCCGGCATAGTGCTGCCGCGCGCCATTCGTGCAGGCGCGCGAGGACTATCGCCTCCAGATCCCATGGCGGCAATCCGGCAAGGAGGCTCGCCGCCTCGCGGGAGATCGTGCGGTAGCCGCGAACCATCTTTACGGCAACCACCCTTTGGGGCGCGTTTAGGTGGTGGACGGCAAGCCGCGCCAAACCACGCGCCCACACCGGGGCCCCGTAAAGGGCCATGGACCTCACGATCCCCGCGTAGAGCCTCCGGCAGGAGGCGTTTGGCCCCCCCAGGTTCGGCAGGAGCCGCCTGAAGGCAGCCCCGGTCCGTTCCAGTTTGGGAGCCAAACGTCGGAAGTGCTCAACGAAGTTCCATCGGCCGTCGAGGACGAGTCCTAGGTACTTCAACGTCGACTCGACGCCGATGGATACCCCTCCTACCATCACTGAGGATCCCGGTGGTGGCCTGTTCCGAGGACCATGGAAGTGCATGGCCTCGGACTTGTGCAGAGCCACCTCGAGACCCAGTTGCCGGATCCTCTCAACGACTATCGCAACCCCGCGTGTCATAGTTTCCGCCGCCGCCTCGTACGACCCCCCTTGTGCCAGTACCAGCGTGTCGTCAGCGTAGCAAACTACGCTGACGCCGGTAGGGAGGTCGGCGCGCAGCACCCAGTCGTAACCGATGTTCCACAGGGGCGGCCCCAGAACCGAACCCTGTGGGACACCGCACGACATCTCTCGCCGGTTCCACTCTCCGTTTCGACCGGAGTAGATGACGGCCCTGTCCGTCAGATAGTCCCCGACTATACGACGGAGATAGGTCGGCACCCGGTGATACCGGAGTGCCTCCCTAATGCAGCTCCAGGGCATGGAGTTGAAGGCGTTGGCGATGTCGAGAGACACCGCCAAGACAACCCCCCCCCTGGCCACTGCATCCCCCGTCGTGAGGGCTCTCACGCGCATGATGGCGTCCACCGTAGAGCGCCTCTTGCGGAAACCAAACTGGTGTTCCGCAAGATCCGGCCCCGTCCCCGCAAGGTGCTCGGCGAGGCGGTTTGCAATTACTCTTTCAAAGAGCTTGCCCACCTCGTCGAGCAGCACCACGGGCCGGTATGCGGACGGAGAGTCCGCAGGGCGCCCCGGCTTCCGAATGAGGACCAGCTTCCCCGTCTTCCAACGAAGCGGGAATTGGCCTCTCTCCAAGCATGCGCTTAGGAGCCCCTCCAGTCGGGGCCCGAGAGCCTCCGAGGCCAGGACCCAGGCTTTGCCAGGCAAGCCATCGGGTCCTGGGGCGGTATTCCTGGCCTTGAGCCTACGTACCGCCACTCTCAGGTCTACCCCGGTCCCTTCCGGGATGTCGTCGTCGTCGTCCTGGTGGTCCGCTTCCGGCACCGCAGGTGGCGGAGCCATAGGCGGGGGCGGATGTTCCCCGCGCGCAGGGAACAGAGCGCTCACCACATCCTCCACGAGCTGAGGCCGGAGACTCTGCGTCAGCGGGGGGGCCCAGGTGCGGAGTTTATCCCGCACGATCTTGTAAGGGCGCCCCCACGGATCTCTATCGAGAGTCTCCAGCATCTCCTCACGGGCCCGATCCCGGGCCCGCAGGACAGCCTCCCGGAGGGCGGTCTTTGCCGCTCTGTATCCCTCGTACAGCTCCGCCTCAATGGCTGCCGCATTCGGTGGACGAATGCGGAGTCTGCGATGCCTGGCGTACAGGTGCCGCGCGGCGACACACGCCTCGCGCAGAGACGTCAGCTCACGCGACCACCAATACACCTGACGCCGGGCGCTTCCTGGCCGGACGCGGGGCATTGCCACGTCACATATCTCGGACATGGCCTCCTGGAACCACCCTGCCTCATCATTGACGTCGGCAGGCCTGTCCGGTGATGACACCCAGGCCTGCACGATCGAGGCTTCCAGGAGGAGCTCCCGGTCCAGCTGCTTCAGCGCCCAACGCGGACCACTCGGGGCCTGTTGGACTGGCGCGCTCGAGGGCTGGGTGGAGACGTCAAACCGGATGTACCGGTGGTCGGAGTAGGTCTCCACCCCCTCCATGACACGCCAGTCAATGGCACGCGGCGACAGAGCGGGGCTAGCGAACGAAATGTCCACCACCGACTCGCCCCGCATCCGCACACACGTGGGGACAGAACCCCGAGTTAGGACGACCAGGCCTGTCTCCAGAGCCCAGTCTTCCACCATCCTACCCCGCATATCTGTACGACGAGAACCCCAAGCCAAGTTCTTGGCATTGAAGTCCCCGAGGACAAGTACGGGGAGGGGATTACTTCCAACGACGACTGCTCTCAGCTCTGCAAGAGAGTTGTGAAACTCGGCGAGAGATCGGTTCGGGGAGAAGTACACCCCCACAACAACGAACTCCCCGAACCGTGCTGCTACGCACCCCTGACCCCTCCTGACACCTTCAAGGGTCGGGGTACCGGCGGCGGCTGAAGAAATGATGGCCACTGAGCCGTTAAGGTCCGCCACCCAGTCCTCCCTAGGCCAGACAAAATACGGCTCAGCGACCACAGCGATGTTGATCGACCACTGCGCCATGCTCTGGAGCAACAGATCCTGAGCGCAGGCGCAGTGGTTGATATTCGCCTGGAGGAAGCTTAATGGGGCCGTTATAGGCATTCCATTTCAGCTTCCTCCACGGGGCGCCTCTCTGCGGGCGTCGGTGTCGCGGCGGCGGCGGCAGCGACAGTGACAGCGGCGGCGGCGGCGGCGGCAGTCGCGACTGCGGCGGTGGCCACAGAGGCGGTGGCGGCGGAGGGCCCTCCCCTACCCGCGACCTTGGCCTTGGCGGGTGGCACGCAGGCCTTGCTTCCGGCCCGGTGATCGGCTGGCTTGCCGGTCGCCGCACATGCATCACAGTGCGGCGTGGCGCAGCAGGTCGCCGATATGTGTCCGGGCTGACAGCAGCGGAAGCAAAGGCCGCTGCGGTCAACCTCCGAGGCGCATTTCACAGATACGTGGTGCCCCACGAGACAGCGGTAGCACCTCAGAGGTCTGGGCTCCAGCAGCTTAACCTGCGCTGAGACCCAGCCCACCAGAAGCCTTCGGCCCTCCACTATGGTTTTGGCCGCCGTAACAGGGCAGCACACCGTGGCGGCATGCATACCCTGTTGGTCCGGGCGTATGGCGCCTGACCTGACCTGGTCAGTAGTGCACCCCCCGGACCTGGCGACGGCGGCCACTAACTCCTTCTCCGATACCGAGTCGTCCAGACCCATGATGCGCAGGTCTGCGCATCTGACGGGCCTGGACACTCGGGCCTCGTCCGCGTCCAGGGACGCTCTGAGCTTCGCAGCCAGAGCGTCCGCGGTCGCGCCACTGGATTCCCCGGGGATCTCCAGCATACGGGCCCCCGTCTGGGTGACTTTGAGCCGGAGGCCCCCGGTGATCCCGAGCTCCCCGAGATCCACCGCCTCTTTCGCCTTCGCGAGCAGATCGCGGTAGGTAACGCCCTTCTTTTCCGCGTCCGGCTGTAGTGTAATCACTACAGCTGCGGTCTTCGGGGCGCGGAGCCTAGCCGCCATCTTGCGCGCCCTGAACTGGCGCTGCCGCTCCTGCTCTTTGGCCTTTTTGGCTGCCTTCTTCCCCTTATTTTTGTCCCCGACCACCTGCCAACCGGCTTCAGCCGTGGGAGGTGTAGGGAGCTGCGGGGGCGGTGGCGGCGGCGGCAGCTGGCTTGCCGCTGGCGCTGGCACATTCGCCGCAGGCACTGGGGCTGGCGCAGCCACCACCTGTGCTGCCGCTTTGCCCTTTTTTGTCTTCGCCTTGCCTCTCTTTCCCGTTGCCGGCTTAGCCGGAGCCGGTTCAGCCGGTACCGGTTTTGCCGGAGCCGGCTTTTCAGGGGGAGGAGGGGCAACTGCAGCCCCGCCCGAAGGCTGGCTGGACGGCCCCGGCCTGGATGCGGCAGCTGTGGCCGCCGCGTACGAGACCGTTGCCGGCCTCGCCGCCGTCTTGTTTGCCCCTAGGGGGGGGTGCAGGACGATGCCCTCCAGCACGGAGAACCGGTGCTGGAAGGCAGCCAGCTCCTGCCGGATCAGGTTCAGAACCTGGTTCTCCACCGGCACGGGCTGGCTTGGGCGCTGCGTCTGGGGCGCCGCGCGAGAGGCAGGCTCACGTAGACTGGCCAGGTCTGCGCGGAGCTTCTCGTTCTCCTTCTGGAGAGTCTCCATGGCGGACGTCAGGCGGGCCACTTCCGCCCGCAGCTCCGCTACCTCGTTTACATTAAGCTCGGCCCCAACAAAGTTGGCCTCCGCAGCCGCCATGATGGAGGCGGAGGCCGCGGGAATGGCCTTTAACTTTGAGGAGGCCTTTTGCTTGTGGGCCACGACCTTGATCGCGGCCTCCACCTCCTTTACGAATCTGGCCTTACGCTCCACCTCGGAGCCGCCAGTCGCATCCGTCTCTTCGCCTGATACCCGAGGCGTATCGCCCGGGTGGCGCCCCTCCTCGGCATGCTTTGCCGCTTGTTCGGCCCTCTGATTGTCAGAGGGCCCCCTCCCCTTGCCTCTCAGCCCGCCCCGCCTGTTGGTGGGGATTTTCCGGGCCGAAGTCTCCTCTTCTCCGGCTGACGACCCCTGGTCGCCATCCCGCCTGGACCGCTTGCGGAAGAACTTACTGGTCTCCGCGGTCCCAGGCTCCACGCGTCGGGAGCTCTCTGAGCCTCCCACGCTGCTCGATGCGGCGTCGGACTCTGTCCCCGCATCGTTCCTCCTCTCCTCTACGTTGCCGTTGCCGGCGGTTTTGGTTTTTTGTTCTTTATTTTCCATATTTGTACCCACGAGTATGGGAGTAATTAAATGTCCACCTTGGCAGTGACCCCTTACCAAGGTAAGCAGATTTAGAGGATTTATTACTCGCCAGGGGGTCTGCAGGTACCCTGGCGAGGAGCGCACTATCGACTGATTTGTTCATAGAACCCCGTCAGCCATCCATCCCCTCGCGGTGCGTCGCCGCTTGAGATTCGGGGTAACTTTTTATAGAGGTTTTCTCCCTCGCGGTCCGGGCGGTTAAGCCAAGACCCTCGGTCCCAATCAAAGCCGCGAGACATGATCCACGACACTTCGATACTGGGATTACGAGACCGGCGGTGACAGCAAAGGATGAATCCTTCACTGTCTGCCCGGAGGCAGGGTAAGTGCACACCGAGCCCGCCCTCACTCCTCTGCTATGCCCTCTGCTGATCAGAGGGTCACGCAGTGGAACGCGCCGTTGGTCCGGGACGGACCCCACCCATGTCAGAATAATTAGCCGCGGTAGTAACCTTCCCCAAGGAGTAAGAATTTCTTCTCATTTCTCGAGGAAGATTACTGCCGCGCCCAGGGTGCACCGGCCCAGTAGCTGCTCTTCCCTCCAGACGTATCGAGAGGGACCCGCAACTACCAGGCACACGTGGAGGACTTCTGACTTCGCACCCCTTCCATCCCACCCTGAATAACACATTATAAACTTGTATAAAAAGTTATTTAAATTTTGTCATAAGTAAGCAAATATATCTTAAAAATAAAAATTATGTACGCACTAATAAATAAATGGATATAATTAACAAGCAAATAAATGTTACATACCGACTTGATGTGACTCTGTCAGCATACATACTGCTACCTTTAATCTGTCAAGCCTTTGAAGTACACATGAGGCAATCCAAGGTCAACTTTGTAGAACGCTCCAAAGAGTATGGTAATATTTAGAAAGGACCCCTCAGAACCAAAGAGTATATGATCACCACACTACGTTTAGTCAGAACCATAGTTATTGTGATCATAACAATTATTTTTTAAATGTTATTTAGATGAACTATAAAACTAAAATTTTATTAGAATTAGTTTCGTTATTAAATTACGCTTCTTTAAATTAACAGAATTGACTTCAAATGACGAGTTTCCGCCTCGCGTCGCGTTTACGTCACATACTTTTGTCTTATATCCTTCGCCGCGTGAGTGTAATGGCTCCAGTACACGTTGGCCGAGTGCGCTTGGCGAGCGCGCTCGGCAGATTTTCGTGGTGCCGTTCACACGTTGGCGTGTTTCATTCTGCGTTGGTAGCTAGATGATGATGGACGTTAGGGCAATCGCGGCCGCTGTCATATACTTATACAGCGCTTCACTCTTCTCAGAGTGAACGAAAAAAAAACAACACATACAACAATAATCCCAGTGTGTCCTTTTTAGGGTTCCGACCTCAAAAGGAAAAAAGAAACCTTTATAGGATTTACTAGCTACCCGTGCCCGCTTCGCTGGGGGTTTTTTCAAAATAAAAGATAGCCCAAAAGAAGCCCCTAAGCTACATTATCCCTGAACAACATAAACGCAGAGATAATTATTTATAATAATATTTATCATTAGGTAGGTACTCTGAAATCGCAACTAAACATACATGTTTAGTTGCGATTTCAGAGTACCTACCTATTTAATGCAGTTAGGCAAGTTACTCTGGTTTTATTTTTATGTTGCTCATGTTTGGGGTTCCATATAACTGATTCATTGTGAGGATCAATCAATGAACAATGAATCAATATTTACTCCATAATTATTAAATCGTAATGTGTTGGTATGCATATAAGTAACATTAAAAATATATTATATTGAATTATATATTTTTTCATAATATATGATATTTATTTATATATATATATATATATATATATATATATATATATATATATACATGCGTATATATATGTGTGTGTGTATGTATATGTATATTTATGTAAGTGCACACTTTGACTATCTCTATTTCCTTCAACTATTCTTCAATAGGCCTGCTGGAAGAAATTTCATCATGGAATAGGCAGTACCTTTGTACATAATTATGTTTTTACCATTTTCCTATCTAATTATGTGTGTACATAAACTGTTAAATAAATAAATAAATATTTCCTCATTAGTCCATGTCGCCATGTAGAAACAATTTTATCAAGCCGACACTACAGTCTACTCCGACGCGTAACTATGAACTGAACACTCGGCCAACGTGTGAACACTGTTTGCGGCTTGCGCCAAATTCCTTTGATTTGTGCACGGAAAACCGACACTATACGGCTCGTCGGCGAGCGTTGGCCGCAAACGCCAAATATATACAAAACGGCCCAGTACACGTTGGCCGAGTGCACTCGGCGAGCGCGCTCGGCCAACGTGTACTGGAGCCATAAGAGGCAACTAGAAATTTTACAAAAAATTAAGTGGGTACAATAGAAAGTTTTTTGTTAGTTTTTATACAAATGGTAAGTAATTACACTGTTTTAAAATTAAATTCCTTATATTTTGCTTCGTAACAATTTCATATATTTTATAAAATTGCCATTTCAAATACTGTGTCGTTCACGTATCACTATATTTAATAGCCAGAATTAACTGAAAAGTAAATAAAAAGTGTGAGTTATCACAATAAATCATGTAATAAACACAAATTTTCATATCCCACAAAGTCCAATGCGCGAAAATTACGTTTTATGTTATAATTTCGATATATAGTGAACATTATGGCGAAGTTGTTTTCATCAATAACTAAAAATAAAAATGTGAATGTGAAGCACCAGCTTTCAAATAAAAAAAGAATCATCGAAATCAGTTCACCCAGAAGGTTATGAGGTAACACACATAAAAAAACACAGTCGACTTCCTTCTCCTGTTTGAAGTCGTTAGAAAAATGGCGTTGCTCAAAGATAGCGTAATAAAGTATATACTTTATTACGCTATCTTACGGATGTACAAGTATATACCTGTGATTTAATTTTTTTTGAGGCTTCTACTGAGTTTATCGATATAATTATATTATATATTTCTTTTCTTTATGAAAATCAAGTGTTTCTATGTCCTTGTTTCTTTCTTCATAATATTTATTCGATTTTAACATATATATACTTTTTTTTCTTTTTAGTAGAATTGTTTGGTTTTGTTATTTAATATTGTTTTAACCATTGAACTTGTTTACGCAACTTTTGTTTAATAAATTGTTTGATGCTGTTTGATGACTTTTTTACACATAATAGTTTACCACCGGCGGATTTTCCGGACCGATACGACTTAGGGACCTTCAAGAAAAGAGCTTACACCTTTCTAAACGGCCGGCAACGCATCTGCAATTCCCCTGGTGTTGCGGTTGTTCATGGGCGGCGGTAGTCACTTACCATCAGGTGAGCCGCATGCTCGTTTGCCCCCTCTTCTATAAAAAAAAAAAAACACAAAAATATTTTTTTAAATAATAAAATTAATCCCTCCCTCTCCTTACAGTTTCATTCCACTGCTGGTGATGGACCGTTACATCCTATAAAAACCCCCAATGAACATAGGCCTCCACTATATTCCTCATAGAGGGTATACTTGTCATAGTTGCCACGTTCTGTTCCACGGTACACGCACCTTGTTGTATTGAACAGTGGATCAGTCGCCTCTTACGAAACCCACGGAATAGTATGAATATTCATACACCGCCACTACACAGTAATTGATAATTTCTCGAAACATTTCATTTATCGACAAATCGTCTTGCAATCGTCGTCACTCTAGCGCTCACTTGACCTTCTTATAAATAATTCGATATTTTAATTGTTGATAATTTTTTATTTTTGGATATGAACATAGTAATGACTCTAAGTTATTTTTACCATTTTTTTAAAAAATCGTCTGGCCTGACCTACTATACTCTTTGGCTTGACCATAGTTCTAACTAAATATGTCCAATAAAATGTCAAGGTCTGAGAGGTTAAACCTCGTAATAATTTTTCAAAATCATCTAACTCATAAACTCTTACAGTTTTAGGTTTAACAATATCTATTTTTGCGGACATTATATATAAATAAAGGGTAAAATGTATAAACAAATAGAAATATTTACAAGCAAACTATAAATGGCTTTAAAATAGTTTCAAAACCACTATATAATTAAATAATTATTGTGCAATTTTTATTATAATCCTTTTTTTGCAAAGAAATAACTTAAAATATTATTTGGTTTGCCTATGACAGCTGATTAGGCTTGAGCAAAAAATATCGATATATCGAAATATCGATATTTTTTAACAAAATATTGATATATATCGCCGATATTTTAAATTGCCATATATCGATATATCGATATTTATTTTAGAGTATTGAATTCGTATCAATTTTGATATATTTTAAAATGTTGTATTAATAACAAAACATGTAACAACAAAAGGAGGTACAAAAGT